AGGAAATGATTTTTGTTTTTAAAGATAAAATATTACCACTACCACCGATGCTAAATAATCAACTTTCTCGATGTGAGCTTTTTATATATAAATGGACTCATATATATATATATATATACTACTGCTGCGTGAAAACCCGAGAGAGCAACAGAGGATGAAAGTAACAGACAGACAGAACGAACGTAGCGAGCAAGAGTCACAGTGAGCGAGGAGCTAGACTCAGTAAGAAGTCATACAGCGATACTTGAATACCAAAGACTGTATAGATATTTTGCTACTAACCCGTATTCCTGGAACTACTAACCTGCATTACCAGTTTGTATTATTACGTTAATACATTATTTTCATATATTCATTCTGGCATTTGTTATTTATTGGTACCGGATTTCAACCCGGAATCTATAACATAAAGAATCAAAACCACCACCACCACAAAATCTTAGATAATTTACATAAATCATTCCAAGTTAGATTATCTACCAACTCCTGCAATAAGGAAATATTTGATTATAATAAAATTAAATATATAAAGGCTTTAGAACTAAGCAATCACAAATTAAATTTAGAATATTTAGAAAAAAAAAAGGTAAAAATAAACAGAAATGCCGTAAGTGTATCATCATGCGGTTTAAATCATCTTTTAATAGTAATGTTCACACAAATTGTAATTACAATAGTACGTAGCTGTAGGCTTTAAGAAACTATAGTTCAATTGAGAATACAAGATTCGTGTATAGTGTCCTTTTATAGTACCATTAAACAGAAATAGCTCTCTCAAAGAGGAGAGTAATAAAACAAGTGGAGAGCACACTTGATTATTCATAACACTAATATCGGAAAATTTTCATGAATTTAATCCATAAGCATTTTAACCATTCAGCAACACTAAAAAAGACTTAACACAAATAATTTAAGATCATCTATAGCTGCTTTAATAACATAGACAAATCCATACCCCCAACATAATTATATTTCCAACAAATACAAGGTAATTTTTTTCTAAAAACAAATGAAACTGTCAAAAAAATATGTTCTCTCCCCAAAACGGTCAATGTATGACTGATAAGATTGTATACCGGGCGAGCATACATTCCGGTAACGATGTTAAATTTTATTTAGATTCCACTGAAAATCCTTGGATCTACTATCATCGAATGACTTTATGTAATATAACATTAAAAAACAGCACTATTCTCTAAAAGTATTTCTGTGAATTAAAAAATCATGGCAAGTCACTCTTCATCAACTGGGATATTATAGCAAAAGCCATATTTAATAACAGGAAAGGAAATAGATGTGACTTATGTCTTCCTGAAAAATTGATTATCTTAAAACTCTTAAATAATGCTAGCTTATTAAACAAGAGAAAGAATTTCATGGTTATGTGTAGGCATCAAAATAAATATCTGATTAAATACGTTAATCCAAATTAATTTTAATATAAATAATTTATTTTTGAAGTAAATTACGTTTGTCTTTTGTTTTATTATATATATATTAAAGAAGATGTAATCTTTTCATAATAAAAAATTACTATTTACAACTCTAAAATAATGTTGATTTTTTTACATACATTTACTAATCTTGTTTATTCTAAATTCCAAATATAATTTTTAAAACTAAAAAATCTGTAATCCTGGTATAATATATAACTACGCCATAACTGGGATAACCAGATATATTGTTTTAATATTTGAATTACGTAACGTCCAGTCATCAGTACCAGAAGATTGCGTTGTGCATAAAGCTCCGGATTATGCTATCGGTGAAGCATAATATATATATATATATATATATATATATATATATATATATATATATATATATATATATATATATTAATTTATTTAAAATTATAACATAAATATGTTATAAAATCACTACAATATTATGTATTATGCTATAATTTTTAAAATTGTAGTGATTTTATAACATATTTATGTTATAATTTTAAATAAATAATTATAATCGCTCTACTCTGTATTGAGCACTTTTTAAAAAATAGTAATTGTTGGCTATTGGAATTTATTCCGTATACACCAATCATATACTAGTATATATATATATATATATATATATATATATATATATATATATATATATATATAACCTATATGAAATGATGTGTGAACAAAGTACGTAAGGGTGAAATTGTGATAAACCAGTTTTTCTGATTAATTTTGTTTAATTTGTTGTCACTGTTTTGCCCTGTACGAGCATCCTCGAAATTAAATCATATATATATATATATATATATATATATATATGTGTGTGTGTGTGTGTGTGTGTGTGTGTGTGTGTGTGTGTGTGTGAAAAGTATATATAAATATAAATAAATATATATATGTATAATTGGATTTATATATTATATGCTTATTATACGCCTTAGCTCAATATCAGAGACAAACTAACATATTTAATTATCCCATGTAAATATGTTAGCCCTGGGTTTGATATTGAGCGCTTTTCTAATAAGTAATGACATATAATATATAAATAATATCATACATATATTTATTTATATTTATATACACTTTTCACGTATATTTGCTCCCCCCACAGGTTGAGCACTGCGCTATACTTTTAACGAAAATGGATAAATTTGACCTATATATATATATATATATATATATATATATATATATATATATATATATGAGCTTAAATGTGTCTCATGCAAAACACAATTACATAATGAAGCTCTCTCAATAGACAACTTTCAAAAATACTCCATTCCTTAATTCCATCAGTTCAGATAATCGCAACTAGAAGTCATCATGCCAACTTCACAGAGTCATATTATCCTCGTACCTTTTGTATTCTAATGTTAAGTATGAAGTTTCATTCAGATAAATTCTTCCCCATACCTTTTACTTTGTAGAACAAAACTTTCGCGATAACTACATTCTTGAACGCTTTATGTCTAAGCTCATTCGTTATCCTATATAACCCCATATTTTGCACTTCTTGCTCCCTCCCTTTACGCCATTGCAACCATTTAATTATTAAATATCTACCATGTGTGGCTCTTGGGCCTTATATTTTTTTAAAATAGTCTAAAAAGTGGGACGTTTTAGGAAGAGGAAAGCAAAAATAGCATTTCTTACTAAGACAAATCGAATATTCTTTTTCAAATAAAATTATTTTTCTTTCTTTCTTTCTTTCTTTCTTTCTTTCTTTCTGTCTGTCTGTCTGTCTATCTATCTATCTCACCCTTTTCATATATATATATCTCAGTCCTTTTATATCTGTCTACCGCAGCCTTTTCGTATCTATCTATCTATCTATCTATCTATCTATCTATCTGTCTGTCTGTCTGTCTGTCTGTCTCAGCCTGCTCATATCTATCTATCTATCTATCTATCTATCTATCTATCTATCTATCTATCTATCTATCTCAGCCTCTTCATATCATTATTTATTTTCGGTGCAAAAAAAAGAGTGACATTGTGTTGGAATAAACAGACAGGTTGCAAAGAAGTGAAAAAAATAAAATTAACGTTGTGGTCGGAAAAAAAAACTTGGAAAAACGTGGAAAAACTCAAAATCTAAATAGCCGGGAAGACCCTTCTAATCTCGACACGAGAGTATTTTTTCTTTTATTATTTCATTTTTTATTCTTCCTCCATTTCCTATTTTTTTATTCATCATTTTAGATTCCTTCGATACTTTTCAATTAATTCAATAAAGGTTAAAAAACAAAATTCAAAATTTGGCTTTCTCACTTTTCCTTATTTCGACTAAGTATTGTTAGCGTAAGTATTTTTGTTCCGAAATCTGCCTTAGACTTCATGTAACGTAGATATATAGTTTTATCATGTCAACGAACACTCGTTGCCACTTTTGTGATGTTAACGAATACTCGTTGTCACTTTCGTAATACTCATTGTAGTAGAGACTTTGTAATCGCAGATACAACTATAGTAATGCCGTTGAACAATACTGACGCCAGGCGCCTTCGAATATCACTCTCACTTGCTCGATAATACTCGCTTGGAATGTAATCCGTATAGGGATCCGAATAGATGAATAGTATAATAAATAGAGTAAAGAATAGCGGACCGTATTGTAATAGAGGATAGAGTAGAAATAACGATCCTTTAGAAGTCACATGACTCCCTCCTTATGCGTTTCCTCTATGGTCACGTAGTCTACTTAATTCAATAATGGGATCGCCTGTGTTTGTTCACTGGCGATCTATGTTCAAACTCAAGTGTCGGCGGCGACACTTTATCCCTACATAACATATAGTCAGACAGATAAATTGCTTGCAGCTATTTATGTTTTTGTATGACTAAATATATACATATTTATTAAGCTTAGTTCACATTAAATGACCGCAAGTGTTGGAAACAGTAAGGATCGAACTCTACAGTAGCCATTGTTTTAGACTAGCATGATAAATATTATTCCAGAACGAGGCGTTTAAACACGTAGATTGATTAGTTTAGTCTAGCACAAATCCTATTTAATGTTGCCTGTAAAGTTCGAACACATGAGAGTACGTGTGGGCTACCAGATCAACTTGTTAACTACTGCTTCATAGCGAAACGTTACAGGAATTAACAAATTTTTAAAGAAGCGTTTCATCACCATTAAGAGTTCGATCTTCACAAGTTTAAACACCCTGTGAAGATCGAACTCTTAATGGTCTTTTAAACTCTCTTATTTCTGCTTCACGCGATGTGCTTATAGTTATATATCTACGGAATTAATCGCACTTCTTCTAAATAAATATCATCCATATAAAAGCTTACATTTAATTAATTGTATGTCTTTAATACCAAATTGTCCAAATCCAGGCATTCGAATTACCAATTTGATCTAAAATTGCCTTTTTTTTTGTGAACGTTTTTACTTTTTTGAGCTGCACGACGACTGAAGTTGTCTTGTTCGATTCACCGTTTGCACCCAAGAAGCAGACGACGAGACTGGGTTCTTTGTTGCGACAACAGGTGGCAGGGTAATCGAAAGGGTGGCAAAAATACGGATGCACTTTGCTAATTAAGTCTGAGCTTGGATAGTAAGAAAAACTTATCACGACTTCTAGTGAAATTGGTGAAAATGGAAAAGTAGGTATATTGCGAAAAAAAAAAAAAAAAAAGACAGAGAACTAAAGAAAGAGAGAAAAAAGAAAGAAAAATAAGAGAAAAGAAAACGCAAGAAAAAAGAAAGAAAAAAGAAAAATAAGAGAAAAGAAAACGAAAGAAAAAAGAAAGAAAAAAGAAAGAAAAAAGAAAGAAAAATAAGAGAAAAGAAAACGAAAGAAAAAAGAAAGAAAAAAGAAAGAAAAATAAGAGAAAAGAAAACGAAAGAAAAAAGAAAGAAAAAAGAAAGAAAAAAAAGAAAAAAAAAGAAAAAAAAGAAAAAAAAAAGAAAAAAAAGAAAGAAAAAAGAAAGAAAAATAAGAGAAAAGAAAACGAAAGAAAAAAGAAAGAAAACGAAAGAAAAAAGAAAGTGGAAACGGTCAAAAGAGAGAAGAAACTGCAAAAAGAAAGAACAGAAAAAAATGAAGTAACCGCAAAATGAAAGAAATAAGATGAAAAATTTACCGCAAAAAGAAAAAAAGAAAAACAGAAAAGAAAGAAGAAACCTCAAAAAAATGAAAAAAAAACAGAAGTAACTGCAAAATGAAAGAAAGAAAAATAGAAAGAACAAAACGCAAAAAGAAAGAAAAAAGTAACAGCAAAAAGAAAGAAAAGCAGAGAAGAGGGAACTTCAAAAAGAAAGAAAGAAAAACAGAAAAGAAAGAAGAAAACGCAAAAAGAAAAGAAAACAGAAAAGAAAGAAGAAACCACAAAAAGAAAGAAAGAAAAACAGGAAAGAAAGAAAAACAGAAAAGAAAGAAAAACAGAAAAGAAAGAAGAAACCACAAGAAAGAAAGAAGAACAGAAAAGAAAGCAAAACAGAAAAGAAACTTCTGAAAGAAAAAACAGAAAAGAAAGAAGCGACCGCAAAAAGAAAAAAGTGAAAAACAGAAAATGAAAAAGAAACCACAAAAGAAAGAAGCAACCGCAAAAAGAAAGCAAAACAGAAGAAAGAATTAACCAAAAACTGAAAGAAAGAAAAAGAGAAAAGGAAGAAGAAACCGCAAAAAGAGAGAAAAAAAAAAAAGAAAAACTGGCAAAAAATAAAGAAAAACAGACAAAAAAGAAGAAACCGGAAAAAAAGAAAGAAAAGAAAACAAAGAAACCTAAAAAAGAAATAAAGAAAAGAAATAATGAAATGTTTAAAAAGAGAGAGTTTATGAAAGTTAAAAAAGCTAAATGGAAAAAAAAAGAAAAAAGAAATAATAGTGAAGGACATCAAGAAATAATAGATAAAAATAAAAAAATAAAAAAAAGAAAGAATATAACAGATAAATGAAAGAAATAACAAAAAAAGAAGGATGGAAGGTAAGGAAGAAAGAAAATTTTAATGGTGGATGAAATGAAGGAAAATGATCCATCTCTCCACCGCCACCCGCAGTAAGGGCTTTAAAGGAGCGTAGATTGGACTCTGTAGTTTTAGTTTGTAACCAATGTAGAAAAACAACGCTGAATTCGGTTAAATGTAGAATAAAAAATACATCCCTGAAAAAATATTTTTAACAGATAACACAGTAGTAACAAATAGCATGTAGTGAGTGTGGTCATCTACACCACGATGAAGTCTACAGTCGTCTTTCCCTGATTTTGCTAATGTATCATCTATGTATTAATGTCTACTGTCACAGTAGGACAGATCAATTTTGGAAGCGTGGTATTGCAATCTGTTTGAATGTTTGGGGTTTGACATGATAAATAAAGACGAAAATAATTGTTTTCCAATTCCTTATCGTTTATTGAGGAAACGAGTTTAAAGATTAAGTTTAGGTTCAAAATCACATTTCATTCTGGTGATCCGTGAAAGCCTTATAACACAGACTTATCAAATTTATAATTTACTGAAGCTTTACAAACCGTATATGGACAAGAGACTTAACACAAGCACAGAACTACTAAATCGTTGTCCCATCATATAAGACCTTCATTTACTTCAAATGGAAATTGTACTGAACTATTTAGTTACATTACGATGTAATATGTTATACAGTTCAGTAATTTTAGTGCAATTTTCAATAAACAATGAAAATTTAAAATATTTTGTCCCATAATTTGTGTCCATCAATTTAATGGTCATATAAACACTTTTATCTATTTTTTGTTTTTATTAATGACCTAAGTAATGCTATAAGATCTTATTCATGAGTAGCCATTTTTGTAACCTTTTACAATTTTCTACATAGTTTTTACTTATCGAATACAATAAAAAAATTCAATAATTTACTTGTGGCGATTCATAATTAGAATTCAGATTTGAATAAATTTTGCATTCAGTATATCTAATACAAAAGATATCAACTTTATTTTTATTTACACTTTTATCTAATTTGTACGGGTGGATATTAATTATGATCAAACAAATGATCTAACAAATCTTATTCCTTGAGTACCCTTTTTTCTAAACTTTTACAATTTTTTACATAGTTTTTACTTATCGAATAAAGTAAAAAAAAAAATTTGCATATTTTGCTTGCGGTGATTCATAGAATTCTGATTTGAATATATTTCCTATAAAAATAAATAAAAATATCAACTTTATTTGGATTTATTATTGAAATTGTAAAAATTTGAAATCACTTTGTAACAAAAAACCTGCGAAAATAGGTATTTTATTTTTAGAGGATATTTAAAACTAAATGGTCAGAAAATTTGTAAAAGCTATGAACCTAATTTTTAGTGTCACTATTTATCACAGCAAACCCCAGTTTTCACACCGAGTGCAATGTTGATATTTTGAAAAAGGAAAAATTCAGCCCGCCCTTCTGTCACAATTGTTCTGTACAATATATTGGGTAAACTTGCAGAAATCTAACGAAACTTATCTATGAACACAAAAAGGATCTTATGCACAACAGCCTATCAAATGCATTAGTCAAACACAGAAATAAATTAGGCCACAACTTATTTAACGAGAAAGCAATTGACTTAGAAGGATAATTCTTGATAGTTCCACTTATCTTAACAAAATATAAATTTGCCCCCAGGATTTTTTTCAAATATCTCCTTTACTAAAAAAATACTCTTTTCTCAAGCTTGCATATATGATTTTTTTTTTATTAAAAGAAAACGGGTAAATTCAAAACCTATTAAAAAGATATAATAAATAAATTAATCTCAAGCTAAACTAATAATTACATTGTTAAAAAAAATTAAATAACAACAGCAACATTTACACACTTTCGTTTATTATTAAATCGTATCACGTCGAATCTTCCATAATTTACCTTGACTTAATGTTAGCTAAATGAATTTTAGGCAAATTTAAAAATTCTAAAAACTAACAATATTTTTACTTCTGTTCATACCTGCTTGTTAGAAAATAAAATCCTTACATTTGACCCCATAAAGTCCATCATAAGACGAAACTCCTCAACTAAGAAGTTTTTCCTTTGTCCTAATTGTACACACACACACACACACATATATATATATATATATATATATATATATATATATATATATATATATATATATATTTTATATATATATATATATATATATATATATATATATATATATATATAGTGGTACTGGCTTGGAAAGGTAGAATGATTCTATCCTGTTTATGTGGGATCTAAAGGGATTTTTGGGGCCAAGCCTAAGGGCTCGGATGTCCCACGTTAAACTCGGCCTTGTGCCACATCTACCCTCGTGGTGTGGGGGCTAGTAAATACCGACTAGCTGAAATCTTTTTCGGCTTGCTGGTCGAACTCTCTGCCTCTGAGCAGAGAGGAACCCGGAAGAGGCTATGCCGAAGGGCAGAGTCTCGTTCGGGGAGGTAAATCAACGCGATCGCGTTTATGCGGGTTCTATGGTGAATTTTTGTCCTAGCCTAAAGGGCTGCATATCCCACGTTAAACTCGGCCTTGTGCCACATTTACCCTCACGTGGGGAACCTAGTAAACACCGACTAGCTGGAATTTGTTCCAGCTGTGCTGTCGAACTCTCTGCCTTCGTACAGAGAGGAACCCGGGAGAGGCCATGCCGAAGGCCAGAGTCTCGCCCGGCGATGTAAACCGATCCGGACCCATTTATGCGGGTTGTATGGGAAATTTTTGGCCGAGCCTAAGGGCTCGGATAACCACTCGACCTTGTGCCACATCTATCCTCGTGGGGTGGGTGTTAGTAAATATTGACTTGCTGGAATCTGTTATTTAGATCTTGGCTGCCGTCGACCTCTCTGCCTTCGGGCAGAGAGAAACCCGGACGAGGCTATGCCGAAGGACAGAGTCTCGCCCGGGGAGGTAGACAGACCCGAACCCGTTTATGCGGGGTCACGGTAAATTTTTGGCCGAGCCTACGGGCTCGGATCATCCTACATTAAACTCGGCCTTGTGCCACATCCTTCCTTGTAGGGAGGCAGGTAAATACCGATTTGCTAGGATTTGTTGAGTACAACTCAGACTTACGCGAGAACTACCGACCTTTCGATAGTAGCACTCATTACTGAATTGACTTGCGACGATCGTGCGCCTAAGTGTACCTTATTTATTATTGTACTGGTTATTACAATAAATTCTTACTTATTTATTCACCGTGTTTGTCAAGTAAATATTCCTCTTAGCACGGAATATAACAGTTAATTAGCTTAAGACGAAAAATATTTCGCATTTAAAGATTTTTTTTCTTTTTGGCGGATTAATATTGCATAAAACTTTTTAGACATAACAAAGATTCTTCCCGATACAAATTCTACTATTTAACCCATAGTTGGTAGAGAGGATAAGGGATGGCTCCATACCTTTCTCAATGTTATTTTCTACATATGGTGAATACCATGTAGCCGACAGGAATTCGAACTCTGTTCTCCGCATTCTCATTCTGAGCCGCTAACTACAACACCGGCACATTCTTATTGTACCGAACGAGAAACATCTCTTCATGCCAAATGAACTTCTCCAGACTTATGACTTATCTGATACACATTCCATTCTGAACTCATTGATTGATTAGATTTTCTGATCACTGAAACTACGTCAACCGACATTTTTCACCATCAACCAGTTCAGCATTCAACGATCGATATTTTAATTATCGGTGAAAAATCGGTCAAAATGACATACATTTTAACCTTTACTCCTCATAAAATTTCGACGGCTGACTTCCTAATTAATTTCACCTAATCTCAACCGCTTCTGAATTGTCGGTACACCTGTCCAGGTGGGGGTGGTTGGTTCCTCGCAATTATATCATTAAATGTCAGGTCGGAACGCTTACATTTTAATAAGAAAAACCTCGAGGAAAGAGTTTTAGTTTTTCACTCACAACCGGTTTTTATCGACAGTGTTTCATCTTCGTGAGGAAAGGATAGTGTAGTTGTTTTTGGTCTGGGAAGGGAATTCACCGTCCCTGGTTCAATTCCTGTTTCGTTCACTTCTTGTTAATGTACTTGGAAATGGGCGTGAATGCAATTTTCCCCCCGGTCTTAAATAACAAATTAGACCCGGTTCCTTTGCTATGAAGCAGTAACCAATCTAGGATCTACATTCAAACCCAGCCCAAAGAGTGATACACTGTCGATGCTTCCTCGAAGACCCTAATGGGTTGCAGATGACGTGATCATCTCCGAGGTTGGCGTGAAAAGTTCATAAGCTGATTATGAAGGAATGACGTTAGAACGGTGAAAATGCATTAATTTAAACTCTTTTTATTAATAACAGCGTTGTTTTCTTTCAAGGTAAATAAATTGAATTAGGGGTTGAAGAGTTAGGGTTCGTTTGACAGAGAGCTAGGATGTTCGGAGACTTTTCGAAGAGGAACGATTCTACGCTGCAGAAGTTGGTATGGACATCACGAATCTTAGAGAAAGAAAGATTGAGGGGTTTAGGTGATTTTTGTTGAGCGGGTTTAGATTTATATATTTGATATCTTATAGTAACAGTTAGGCGACTAATGTAACATGTGCAGGAAGGGAACTGGCGCAGACTGCAATATAGTATGGCCGCGGAGTTGCCCAACGGAAGTGCTTGCAGGGACACCTTTTCATGATATTATGCAACTGTTGATCAAAGCATACTCTCAAAACGCTACGCAATAGTTCGGGCTCCTATCAGCCGGGGAAAGAAAACTGCCAACTCGTTACCCTAAGTAGGAAGAGACGTTGCCACCTTCCTCACATATCACAACAAATTCATGACAGCACGACTATTAAAGCCTAAGAAAAGGAAAATGAACCGGAAACGCTTTCTAAACAGGAAAAAGGCTTGAGCCTCTACTTCTGTTCAAGAGAAGACGGGAGAATATGGAATAATAAAACTGACAACGTTTCATTCTTTCATACAATTACGGCGACTTTGAAGTGAATTTTTATTATTTCCATGGCCGACAGCATAAGACTATCTCTAATGTGGGACGGAAGATGATGGGCGGAGATGAGTATCTGCTTTACTTAATCAACCAACTTTTCATTCAGCGACTATCAAAGAAATTTGAGTTCTTCCTAGATGCCAAGTACAGTCAACCGCAAACGAGTGGCACTTGACTTGATATATATATATATATATATATATATATATATATATATATATATATATATATATAGGGACACACAGTTGAATGAAGCGAATTAAAGTGTAAGTTTGAGTTTTTTTTTTTTAAGTTATAAGTTTTAACTTAGTACAAGTTCAAGTATCCACTTTGTTGGGAAAAGCGCCAAGCCAAATTTCCGCATTCAGTTATTCCCACAGAATGGACTCTCATTAAAATGTAGTATCGAGAATTAACACTAAAAAATGTGCTAAAATCTTATGTAGGTATGTTTACATGCAAACAGGATATTGCACCGAAAACATGTAAAAATTTCTACACAATTGCAGTCGGGTTTCACTGTGTAACAATGCATCTCATCAGGCGATTGTAAATTATTGGCGAGTGAACGATTTATTTAGATTTAAAAGCAAAATACAACCTCTCTTTTTGAAAAATAAAGGTAGGGGGGTGGTTATAAGGTTTATGGGATTTACTCTGATCAACCAATCAAATATGACCTAAGTTAAATTTAAACTAATCAAAGAAGCAAAAATAAAAATACAAAATATTAATGTGTCATGACCCGTAAATTGGAAGCTAACGACAGCTAGACATAAACGGATACATAAATAGATGCATAAATTATACAAACTAGATAATGCCATTACCAAAGAAATAAAAATGTGGTGGGGAAGTACTTCAGCAAAATGCTAAACAAGTTATATGCTTTGTGAGTTTCTTACATAATATTTTAGTTGATGAAAAAATAACTTCTTTATGAAACTAGTAAATAATTTAAACATATATAATTATTTGGTAAATTAATATGCAACTGCTGAATAACGATTCTTCATATAAGATGTTAATAACAATAACCAATCAATGAAAATGTCAAAAATACCAGCCAAATACCAATACACCAGTACAACATATTACTAATCCTACCAAGAGATTAATACAAAATTATATAAAATCTAAATTAATCTTACAAATAGAAAGATAAGCCATATATATTGCAACGCAGTACAACTAAAATATAAATATAAGAAAAAGCTTAATCAAATTCTAAAGTTTAACTAAATTATAAAGTAAAAGATAAACTATGTTTACAATTCACTGTTAATTAATTCCTTTGATTTAATAAGTTTTTTAATCTGATAATTTCCATTTTTTTAAGCACAGAAAACAGGGTCATATAAAAATTTACATGTCCTTGCCGTTTTAAAAATTTTCCATTTCACCTTTGGAGTTTTATTATCATATTTAAAATTTCAAAAATATTTAGAAAGTGATGTGTTATTTCTGTAAGTACTATTGGTGAAGGATAAGGTATGTTGATACCAACATGGTTTGAAAGAATTCTTAGTACTACCAATATAGAATTTTTCAACAGACGGATTTTCTATTGTAGAAATAGTAAAAAGATAAACAAGAGATTTAGTTAAACATTTGATCGGGAATGGACATTGGTGAAAATTTCTACAATTTCGCTGGTCAGTATCAGTAATATTTTCCTTTATATTAAGATCCAAATTATTAAATTGGTTTAAAATTTTATTATTGTGTAAGTTTATTACCTTCTCAAGATTATTGGTGCAGCTATACCTTAGTTTCTGTTAAATATTTTATTAAGAGGGCTATGGTTTAACTTAGTGCTGACTAAATTCATTAAAGGTGTGTGTGTGTGACAAATGATTTTCCTATTTATATTTTTTCTTTGACAACTATCATTATATATTTTGAACTTGATTCCAGCTTACTTATAACCACTATTCTTTCAAACTTTATTATACACTCTGCTATATTTATAAAACAAATATTTCTCCGATGAGATTGTCAGAAAACAAAAAACAAGTGAAGTAGAAGAAAATTTCAAAACATAAAAGTGTTCATTTCATAGATACCGTCAACTATTTACATTATTCGGGCTATTGTCCTCATCTTTTTCACCATATTTATTACAACACAGTGGTTAGATCCAGGGACAGGACCCAAAGCGTGTGAGTTCAATACCAGGTTAAGGCAGTGGAGAACTTGGAGAGGGGAATTAACAGGAGATAACTGATAACTGACATCCATTAAAAACATGACATGTGGAACTAGAACAGTCTACCCCAGTGAGCGAAATAAAGGGTTCAGTTCGACATTCCAACCAGCTGAAGAAGGTCGGAGCGTACAACGACCGAAACGTTGTAATAAATATGACGACAAAGATGAGGACAATAGTCCGAATAATATAAATAGTGTATATAATACCTCATCTCGGAAATATAGACAGATACCATCAACTGTTGGGTGTTTTTAATTAATATCAGATCAATAAAGGCTTTCCAACATTGGAAACAGTGTATTAACAGAGGCAGAATGGTGGTGGGAATTGTCAAATGTGGACATTCTATTTTTTACTACTTTTTTAAGAGGTTTACATTTCTACATTTTTAAATATTTGTGTAAAGTGTCCAGTTTTCTGGGTAATCGTCAAGCCAAATTACCCCATTCAGTTACCCACTCGCGATGGATTTGTAAGGCCAAATTACCCCATTCAGCTACCCACTCGGAATGAATTCGTAAGGCCAAATTACCCCATTCAGTTACCCACTTGGAATGAATTCGTAAGGCCAAATTACCCCATTCAGTTACCCACTCGGAATGAATTCGTAAGACCGAATTACCCCATTCAGTTACCCACTCGGAATGAATTCGTAAGACCGAATTACCCCATTCAGTTACCCACTCGGAATGAATTCGTAAGACCGAATTACCCCATTCAGTTACCCACTCGGAATGAATTCGTAAGGCCAAATTACCCCATTCAGTTACCCACTCGGAATGAATTCGTAAGACCAAATTACCCCATTCAGTTACGCACTCGGGATGGATTCGTAAGGCCAAATTAGCCATTCTGTTACCCTCGGGATGGATTCGTAAGGCCAAATTAGCCATTCTCTTACCCACTCGGGATGGATTCGTAAGGCCAAATTGCCCCATTCAGTTACCCACTCGGGATGGATTCCCATTAAAATATCGGGAGAATAGGAAGAGTGATCAAAGTCATGCACTGCAGGAATAGAAACCAAAGACTTTTGTACTTGGTCATTGACCGGATGTAACAAAACCCTTTTCGTCAGTTTTCCTGGGAATTTTGGTCTTGATAGCCTTTGGTAACTACTTCAGCAAATTAGTATAGAAATCTACATTGATTGTGTGACCCTTTTATCATGAAAAAAAAACATTGTTCTTTATTCTCAAAAAATGTTCATTCACAAAAAAGAAATATTCTTACAATCCAAAATATGTTTCAGCTTTAAAGGGTTGATAAACCGTAAAAAGACAAATCAATCAATAACTGGAGTCGCAGTTTAGCAGTTTAAGTTCTTCAGATATTTGGATAACAACTGACACGCACACATACATTCACAGATAGATAGATAGATAGATAGATATAAAATTAACACTTCTTTGTGACTGTCATTTTCATGCTTTAAGTGATCATGAGAATATTACCGGTCGTGATCTTTCCTCATCAATATAGTAAATTTTAAATAATATATATTGTTTAAATTTTATATATATATATATATATGTGTGTGTGTGTGTGTGTGTGTGTGTGTGTGTGTGTGTGTGTGTGCGTGTAATATATATATATATATATATATATATATATATATATATATATATACAGAGAGTGAGAGAAGTGCACACTGAGATCAAAACAGAGTTGTGACAATCTGCGTCATGCGTGAGTGAGCGCTATCTTCAGGCCATGTGTTTTCTGTTTCTCGTTAGGTGTTTCGGGTTTACTGTATTATCCTAGCGAATATACGGTACGCACAGTGCGGATCGAACTTATTGCAGAGTCTAGCGAAACAAGCTTGCTAACCACGACACCACGTCGAGGAGCCCTAGCGATTTACTAAGCATTGGTTAGATGTGGTACAAACTCATAATTATAGAGCACCTAGACAGGATCGAAAACACTAATCAGTTGTAATTAATCGATCGCGACAAGAATGTTAGCCATTGCGTTATGTCGAGGTACCCTGATTTTGCAGACGTCTTTGAATAGGACGCTGCTATTAAGGTTAATTGACTGTTGTATCTTCGTATAGATATGCTATATATATTATCTTCAATTAAACCCTGCACCCTATTGAGTAGTCTTACTTAAATGTATTTATATGAGTTAGCATTGTCTAACTATAAAATGAATAATAGCTCCTTGTTATTAATAAACAGTAACACCATTTTTATAAATATGGCCGAGAAGCTAAATCCTGTAGAGGGCTTTTGGGCTTTCGGCCATTACCATCAGCGTCCTATGTACGTAAAAGTTAGAGGAATTTATAAATAATAAAATTATTTTACCTTTATTCGATACCTTCATTCGGCATAATCTTTCTTCGTATACACAACTGATTTCCGTAGCTTGTTTAAAGTTATTTTGCGTGCAATTTTATATTCTTTTAAAATCACAATTCTTTATGATCCATTAACATAAAGTCAATCTTAAAAGACATTAGGGAACCCGAACTATGTAATATTTCGAATATATCACATATTACAGTGCCCCGTTTGAATTTTGCTTACGGTTTAATTAGACGATATCAATTGCAATTGTGTCGAAAATCAAAATAAAATTTAAACCTTTAATAAAGAATTGTTTATTAAAACTGTTATATATGAATAAAGTGTCACTTGTGTTTGAACATAGATCGTCAGTGAGCAAATACAGATTATTGAATTTAGTAGCCCACGTGACCATACAGGAAACACATATATGGGAGGTAGCGTGTATCGAATTGATCTCCATTTCTAGTCTATCATCTATTACTATACGGACAACTATTCTTTATACTATTTCACTATTCGGGTTACTATTCGAGCGAGTATTATCGAGCAAGTACTATTAGTGCGAGTGATATTCGAAGGCGTCTGACACCAGTAATGTTCAACAGCGTACTATATTTGTAACTGCGATTATAAAGTCTCTACTACAACGAGCATTACAAAAGTGACAACGGATATTCACTGGCATCACAAAAACCTTTTCACTCTGTTCGATATTTAAATTTAATTTTAAATGAGTTATTTATCTAATTTTTAATCGCGTGTAACTACATTAGTTACTACTTGTTACTTCAGGTTGTTTATGAATCACAGACATCGAAAAACTAACGGACGGACGGACGGACGGACGGACGGACACACGTACACTGCGCTTTATTTATATAAATATTCAATTTCTTGCTTGTATACTACCGTAACAAGATGGCTGAAGTTAAATTTAAATATTCCTTAAAAAATCACGAATCCAAACATGAATATTTGATCAGAATGTTTACGAAATTGCAAGATTTTTTAAAGAAAGGGTGCGATGCAAGGCAATAATGTTTCTAAATGAATACAAAAAAAACAACTTCAAAGAATAGAATTCATTTTTTTTTAACGTTCACCCTTATAAATATCCACCTACAGTTTCAGAAATAGCGAAAATATAACAAATATTATTTTAAAAAAAAATCAAATTTAGAAAATTAAGTAGCCATTTCCAGAGAGAATTTCAGGATGATATTAAATTTATCAAAATCTCCGATGAAGTCTTTTTGAAAAGTGATAAATCAACAAACCTGTATAAATTAAAGCCCCCTGTCGTATATGAAAACAAAAATGGATAAAGAAGTAACAAAATTTTACAAAATCTCCTGACAATTATATCAGCGAAAAATGATACAGAGACCAAAACCATTCCTACAAAATTAAAAATTGATAACCCAAAGAGACGTATTGTACATTAAATTACCAAAAAACTGACATTCAAAGCAAACGGAAATATATTTTCTTGATCTCATAACTAAACACAGCTGGGGAAGGTCAGTAAAATGATAGTCCAAGAAATATGTAACAACCTAAAAGTATCCATTGAGGTCAACCAATGGCGAAGCGCCGGAGTGTATATATTGATTGATTGGTTGATATTTCATGACTTATCAACCTTTTGCAGGTTATTTAAAGTCAGAAAATATTTTTAGATTGTAAGAATTTTTTTAGAGATAATAATGACCTACTGAGACAAGTTCTACTAATTAACCTATACCTTGGGAGTAGAAGACGCCTCTCAGGGGTATTTGCGCGTAAGTGAATGTAACAAAACCCACTGCAATGGAAACTCGGCTCTCCTTGTATCTCCAAGCGGTTACCCATCCAGGTACCGACAAGGTGCGATGGCCCAAAAATGCGCATCAACCTGAACGTTGCCATCAACGTGAACCAATGGTGAAGCACCGGCCTGTGTATATTGATTGATTCATTGATTAGTTGGTATTTGTTTACAGTTGATACGTTTTACATATTATTTAAAGTAGGAAATATTTTCAGATTATAAGAATTTTGGAGCGATAATAATGATTTAGGCAAGTTTTACTGTTTAATCCATAGCTGGGAGTAGATGATGTTGATCCATACGTTTTCCAGGGGCATTTGCACGTAAGTGAATATAACGAAAGCAAATTGGAACATGGCTCTCCTGTTGTCACCAAGCGGTCACCCATCTGCGGACTGACCAGGTTTGACAGACTAAGAAATGCGAAACAACCAGAATTTCGTCATCAAGGTGAACAAATTGCAAAGCACCGGCATGTCGGTATTGATTGATTCATTCATTACATTTTTACGTCTTTTTTGGGTTATTTAAAGCCAGAAAATATTTTTACGCGGTAAGAATTTTGGGGAGATAATAATGATTTTACTGAGACAAGTTCTACTGATTAACCCATATCTGGGGAAATAGGTGGATTCATACTTCTGTCAAGAGCATTCTCGCGTAAGTGGCGATAACGAACCCAACTGGAATTAGAATTCAATTCAGCGATTCCCAGTTCCGACCTCTTACGCTATCCGAACATCGAACTTTACAGTACCTGGTATTCCCAAGCTGTCACCCATTAAGGTACTGGTCAGATTCAACGTTGCTCAACTTCGTTGCTCGTACGAGAACCGGTGTTTTAACATGATATGGTCGTGGCCGGCCGGATTCAATACATTACATTCTTGAAATCTGACTATGAAATATAGGTCTGATATGAAAGTATTTCTATATTGTTGAAACTTTGGATAAGGCTATCAAAGGATGAAGAGGTTAACTGGCGGTTGCATTTATGACTAAACATCCCAAAGTCGTTCAACTATATAAATGAATGTATCTGATGGTGTGAGTTCAAAAAGTGGCGTAGAGAAGAGGTCTTTCGCTGTTTGAAGCACTACTGTCATCCAGCAGAGCGAGTATTGGTCTACTAGCGGCGAGACCAACTCGATCTTACATTTGCTCTTTTCTTGACTGTTTTTATTGCGGTGCGAATCCTAACTGCACTGCTCTGATTGGCTAGCTAATAATAATATTTGACCAATTGGCTTAAGTCATACGCATGGAAGGGAGGAAAGGAAAGCCCCTAAGTACGCAATATGATTGGCGGTCCAATCAAAATAATGCCCTTTATAGTAAGTATCGGAGCAGGAGACGAGCAGCTCCATCCCAACTCTTCTCTTAATGGAGGTTCAATCAAAATTTTAGACTTGTATCGTTCATATCCTTCAGTGGAACATTTTCTATGTTTCAGAATCTCACCCTCATTTGACCTGATTATCACAGGTGTCATCGTCACATCGGTCTGACAGTGTGCCATATCACTGATTAAAACAATCCGGACCTGTAAAAATTTACTTTGTGTTACTCATTGCCCTCTAAATGGATAATGTTTAACTAACAGCATCATTTATGGAGCTGAAATTGTGTCCCAAGGATTTCCTCTCATGAACTATATTAGATCTAGAACGCATATATATCTTGGAAGTTAAGTAAATATCGTAATAAGCCAACCGTATCCAAATACAAATGGAAAATCAAAGTAAAAAAAAAAACAACATAAAAATAAAATGGAAAATAATAAATAAAAAAATTATAAAAGTAGTTCCGGCGGATGTTTTGTCAAATATGACAAGGAAAATTGGCAATTTGCTATTTCCAGGCCCTAAATTTTTGTTGAATAGGAGTTTGGAATTACTTCGAGAGTTGTGCATAACAAGAAATATCTATTGGCAAACAAGGTATTTGGATTCAGTTCAAATCTATATTCAAATCAAATATACACTGCTGGCCAAAACTTTAAGGCCAATGAAAATAAAATCAAAGATATTTTTGAGTTGTTAGATTCAACCATTTATTTGAGTAGAGCTTAAAAAAAATGAAAATAAGAAAAGAAAAAAAAGAAAAATTTTTTAGAATTTAATAAGGAAATTTTGAATACTGGAAAATTAGGTTAAATACTAGCTGGTCAAAAGTGTAAGGCGATAACTAAAAGAAGTCCTAAAAAAATAAGAAAATGTCTAACAAGACTTCTCAGTAGTGTGTTATACTTGTCATTGTGAGTAATTTCAAAAATTTGCTTTGACATGGTCGATATAAACGTCAGAAAAAGGTTGGTTGGAATTTTATTCCAAGAGGTGTTTGGAATATATATATATATATATATATATATATATATAGAGAGAGAGAGAGAGAGAGAGAGAGAGAGAGAGAGAGAGAGAGAGACTCTACTTGCTATCTACCCCCAAACATTTTCAATGGGATTCAGATCAGGCAATCATGCTGGATGGTCCAAAAGAATGACATTATTCACCAGGAAAAAGTCCTTTGTCCTTCGGGGGTTATCGATTACAATGTTGACCCGCTGAAAGGTCCAGTCATTTCTGCCCAAGAGAAGGCCTTCTGTCAATAAGGATGCTCTCTCCAACATACCAATGTAACCAGCCGCGGTTTGATGCCTCTGTATAACCTGAATCTGGATTGTTCCTTGGAAGGAGTGAAATGTCTCCGGTGGGATATCCTCATCGTCCCAGTATCGTTGGCAGCCATCTGGACCATCCAGGTAAAATTCTTTTCGGATCAGAAAAAAAAACATTCTTCCATTTTTCTATGTCCTTTGTTTGACACTTCTCAGTTTAATCGAGTTTTCTTTTTGCGGTGTAAAAGGGGCGTGGATTTTGAAGACGTTTATGTTTCGATGCCATCTTATTGTCGGCCTGACGATTGAGTCTAGCATGAAACAGCCTGTCGCCTCATCAATGTTCTTATATATATATATATATATATATATATATATATATATATATATATATATATATTAATTGATTTAAAATACGTTTTTTTTCCGCTACACAGTTCTAACCATGTTTCAAAATAAAAGCTAAAATTTAATTTGCAATTAAATTAAAAGCATTAGTTCCATCTCATCCTCAAGCGAATTTAATTGCAAAATTAAATTCGGGGTTTTTAGCTTCTATTTTTGAAACATGGTTAGAACTGTGTAGCGGAAAAAAACATATTTTAAATCAATTAATTTATAATATTAATGCTCTGTAAATTTACATTGAGCACTATTTTGTAAAAATAAAAATATCTATAAGAACACCGGATTATATATCTTACTGTTCTTTCTTTATATATATATATATATGTGTGTGTGTGTGTGTGTGTGTGTGTGTGTGTGTGTATGTATGTATATATGTGTGTGTGTGTGTGTGTGTGTGTGTGTGTGTGTGTGTTCTTTTAAAAATAGAAAAAAAGAACGTATAAACATAAAAATATATTAAAAAAATTGTCGGACTTTGTCCATTTTATATATATATATATATATATATATTCGCAGACATTACTGTTTCGCTGTATTACAGCTCCTCAGTGAGACTAGACATCCGAATACTTCAAGACCGGATCGAAACCCAACCAATCAGTCAGAATATCTACCACAGAGCTATCCATATTCGACAGAGAAAAAAAAAACTAAATCTAGCGTATTGATTTTACGAATGTAAACAAATGCCAATCAGTCGGAGTGCTCCAATTCATTTTACTGAAGAGCTTTGCATTAACGCAGGTGGCTGTTGATTATAGAATTAGCTTATCACTCAACAGTGCTCAATTGAAATATATTTTCAAGAGTTCAATTCTTCATGGACTTCCTATCCTTAGCGATGATTAATTCATGATGAACATGTTATTTTCGTTTTGATCTATTTTATCACGATTTTTCTGTTATGTTTGGAGAGTAATTATACATTCTTATTGCTCAAATTTGAGTTATAAAAACTTCGGAGAATTCCAGTAAGATATCTTTAATCATTTCTAAAATACAGCGGTTCAAACATAATCTAACAATTGGACAATTTTGATGTTACACTATTTAAACAATTTCCTTGGATGGCACAGAAAGAAATGGCTGTCTACTACGGGAAAAAAATCTGCCTCGTCAGTCATGTATCACGCATGGCACGTAACTGACTGAAGTTTTTTTTTTTATTTTTTTAAAATATATTTTTAATTAAGCTTTTAATTTACATTATTCTATTACTGTTTTAATAGGCTCCTTTATTCCCTAAATTAGTAAAAAGTCATATTGAGAGTGGGATATTTTCAATGCTTTTATACTTTTTTTGTGAGGTTGCCTCCGTTCAAAGACAGAGGCATTGAAACAGTCTGACGCTTAAACCGTTGTATCACGCCGAATCACCTACGCCAGATGGGCAACGCCGAAACGTACCAAACTCTATTAATTAACCCATAGCTGGGAAGAGAAAAGGCGGATTCGTACCGTTCCCAATGTTATTTGCGTCATCCCCAATTCCGAATTGTTATCCATTACTCCAGCCGCACATCCAAGGTTACAGAGCCTATTATTCCCGAGGCCTCACCCATGTAGCTACTGACCAATTGCTTATCTTCGGTGATCCTAGGATAACCGGTGTTCCAACGTGATAGGGCCGGAATCACATTATACCACCTGTACATGAAAGATTACAGCACTTGATATTCCCAAGCTGTTATATATCTAGTAACTGACCATGCTAGACATTGCTTAACCTCGGTGATCGTATGACATATTATCTTAAATCTATTATACCATCTGCATATATATGCTTACAGCACCTGGTATTGTTACCCATCTAGGTAGGTACCAGTCTCGACGTTGCTTAATTGTTATTTTTTGAGAACCATGATGTTGCCGTAAGCTCATTATGACACCCGCACACGCAAGTTTACAGCACCTGGTATTCCCAAGAGATCACCCACCAAGATACTGACCATACTCAACATTGCTTAACTTCGGTGATCGTACGAGAACCGGTATTTTAACGTGATGTGGCCATAAGCCCATTACACTACCCACACATCAAAGCTTGGAGGGATGTGGCCGTTAACCCGCTATGATACGCGAATTCCCAATCTTACAGAACCTGCTATACCCAAGCGGTCACAAATCAAGTTACTGACCAATCAAAACGTTGCTAAATTTCAGTGATAGTACAAAAGTCGGTGTTTCAAGTTGATGTGGCGGTAAACCCGTTATGCAAGCCACATACCCAAGTTTACAGCACCTGGTATTCCCAAGCAGTCACTGACCTAGGTACTGATACGGCTTGGCATTGCTTAACTTAGGTGATCATACGAGAACCTGAGTTTCAACAAAGCCTGGCACATAAATGAAGAATATGATGAATAAAATTATTATGAAAAAGACGTATATAATCTGACTGATGATTGGGGTCCTTAACATAGATGCATATCAGTTTAATTATGGCTAGTTCTCGAGATTGAATTCGTTCATCAGGTAGCATCCTCACTGCAGATTCTTGTTCACATTCGAACCTACTCTAAAGCGATGGTTTACAAGCAATTGCGCGTATGATTGTTATTTTCTCTTCTTATTTCTTCCATGCCCACCTATTCTGTCGGACATACTTTTATAGAACCACATCTCTGTTGCTTCAAGCTTCAGGTCTCATCTTCATCTGTGATCTAATACTACTACTACTACTACTACTACTAATACTAATACTACTACTACTACTAATACTACTACTACTAATAATAATACTACTACTACTACTAATACTACTACTACTACTACTAATAATAATAATAATAATAATAATTTCTACAGATTGCAATGTATCTTCGAAAATCTTAAAAAATACTATCAAAATACCAGGATCTTGAAGTGGAATTCTCAAAAATGAGGACATCGGTAATTTCAGTTGTAGTTGAAGCACTCGAAAAAAAGTTCTGATAGACTCATTGAAGGAATTTCTGTTAGCTCATGTGTCGCGTTACCTTCTCCTAACAGTTTAAAACCGCTCATAGGGGACGCTCTCCGGACTATAAATACTCGGCGATAATTTTTCGCAGCCTCGTCTTACCTCTTACATTTACTCGTCAACATGTAAGTCTCTTGCGGAGAACGCGCTTCCCTTTGGGAAATGCACAAACTAAACATACACAACACACTAACGTACGCACATTCACTCACTTCAGATACCTAGAACCCAAACGGTTTTCACATTCTTGTGTTGCATCATTGTCTTTTTCACTTGTATACCTTTATTATTAATAAATATTCATTTGTTTGTACTTATATATTGATTCTTGTCATTTCTTTTCATTTCGACACGTAGACTCACATCCCAAATCCGCCATTTTTGTGGTGGGTATTTCAGGAGACAGCGTGTCATTCACAATTTCAAACACTGACGTTGGGAAACGCATAACCGCCAGCAACACATGCCTAGAAGTAATACAAAAAGTTGTACTCACAAGCACAGTTTACACATTACGAAGAGCTTTATCTATGTAGAATGGGTGTGAATTTAATTTTTTGTTTTTTTTTTTTTTTTTTTTTCAAAAATGGTCAGTGGAAAATCTTACGATGCCATTTCTAAACTTAGGTCTCTGGTTGAAACCCGGAAGGAAATATGAACATAACAAAAAGCCAAGCAATTAATAATAATAATAATAATAATAATAATGAGTTTTAACCCCTGAAAATTGCATGGTTTTCTATTTTAATATTCTGATGAATTTTAATTTTTAAGTTAATGAGAGAATAAACTCATGGTGAGTCCTACAATAAAATATCCGTATAAATTCCCTTATCACATCTTTTAATATTTGCGTTTAATAATTTTTACAAAATATTGCAGTAACAATCATCAATATAAATGCTCGTCGTTATTTTAAGAAGTAAGAGGGTACAAATGAAAATATTTAAAATTGATAACGTTTTTCACTTTCACTCAAGCATTCGTTAAACACTTTTGTCTTCCATTCTACCTTTCTTTCTTTCTTTCTTTCTTTCTTTCTTTCTTTCTTTCTTTCTGTCATTCATTCCTTTTCCCACTAAACCAAGTAGTGTCTTCCCTCTCCAGGCAATCAAAACGGAATAGTCTATTATTTATAAGGTATCAGCCGGAGATGTTAAGCACTTCTTTCTTTCTTTCTTTCTTTCTTTCTTTCTTTCTTTCTTTCTTTCTTTCTTTCTATCTATCTTTCTTTCTTTCATTTTCTAATTGAAACCAAGTAGTGTCTTTTCTCCTCTTTCCATGCGATCAACCCGGAATAGTCCATCGTTTATGGAGTATTAGTAGGACGTAATCGTAGTCGGGCAATCTAATGAGAAGGACAAGCATAATAATAATAATAATAATAATAATAATAATAATAATAATAATTTGTAAGGGCTAGAAGAGGGGTAGAAAGAGGAGTTGTGAATTAAGGCAGAACATGAGCCTAAATGTGAAAACGCTTCAATACTATGATTCTTTTGTTGAGATGGGGGAAGAATGTGGTTGGTAGCTTTCTTTCTGCAATTTACGCATTTCGAAATATGTCTTGCAAAACGCAACGGCAAGAAATCAATAACAAAAATCGATAAAGCGAAATGAAAATCATGGAAAACACGAAGAGAGAAAAAAAAACAACCGGCGAGATTTTAATGTAGACCATCGCATTAAATTTCATGAATGTCTTACCTGATTTGCCACGGGGCAGCGAAAATATTCAGGCAGGATGGCAGCCAGAGTGCGCTTTAAAAACAAAGCCTTCACTTTGAAGGGAAAGAAATCTAAGATGTCTGCTAAAATATTCCGATAAGTCTGATATCCATCCCAAGTGGAACCAAGGGGAGACCACTGATTCGCAAAATGCTCTCACAGACCAATTCCCAAATGTCAAGAGTTCGATCGTTACTTGGTGCCTCACACTTGTGGCCATGAAAGAGCTTAGGAATTGCATTTATTATCACACATTTGGTACGTCAGGCTGCTGCTGCTGTGGTATGCTAATCGGCATGGTCGTACCACAGAGCAGATCGCAACCGATTTTAGGATCAATCAGCGCCACTTTGAAATGATTGACTCGCTTTCTACGATTTAGCAAGTCTTTACATGTTACTTAAAGCCCCCAAACTTTTTAGACTGTAAGATTTTATTGAGGGATAATAATGGTGTAGAGATGCAATCCTACTAATTAACCCATAGCTGGGGGGTGAACAGGTGGATTCATACCTTTCCAAAGGGTATTTGCACGCTAGTGAATATAACGAAAGCAACTGTGTCCCTTCTCTTCTGAACGTTGTTGGCCATGGCTCTCCACAATGTTCAGTCTTTTTTTAGACCTTAATATATTTTGTCTTTTGGCTATCTCTCCTAAACGGTTATCGTCCTGGACATGACGATAAACTACATCGGGCTGAAAGGCCTCTGATCAGGAGGTTTTGAGGAACGTGGAACCACCTCTTAATTGTTGCTGTGCCCAGGTCCACTCTGACCCAGGGTGGTAACACCTGTTAGGGTCCCAGCTATGGGCAAATAGTTAACCCTTAAACCGCGGTCAAAACACTATAAAAATATGAAATGGATTTTTTGTAATAAAATACCAGCAATACATTTTTGAAGAGAAATATTACCAGCAATACATTTCTGAAAAAATATTACCAACAAAACAATTTTTAAAAAATATTACCAGCACTATTTACATTATTCGGACTATTATCCTCATCTTTGTCGCCATATTTATTACAACGTTTCGGCCGTTGTACGCTCCGGCCTTCTTCGGGTGATTGGAATGTCGAACTGGACTCTTTATTTCGCTTACTGAGGTAGTCTGTTCTGGTTCCACGTGCAATGTTTAATGGATAGTCCGAATAATATAAATAGCGTACATAATACCTCATCACAGAAATATAGACAGATACTGAACGGCCGAAACGTTGTGATAAATATGACGACAAAGATGAGGACAATAGTCCGAATAATGTAAATAGCGTATATAATACCTCATCACAGAAATATAGACATATTACCAAGAATATATTTTGAAAAAATATTACCAGCATTACATATTTGAAAAAAAACTTTTTTGATCAAACAGTCACGGATTATCAATTATCTCTGTGTTCGATCCGCGTGAAGCATCTAGAAAATGCTGATTTTCTAAGCAGACAGATATTTGCTACGTATCACACAACCTTCCCGTCCTTATTTTTTTTTCTTCTCATTTTTCTTCATCTAAAAAGCTTACATTATATAAAAAGCTTATAATATAATAATAAAGATTACGCCAAAATCTTTTCATTCCTATCATTATTGATTTATGTTGGGCATCAAGGTTTTTCTAAGTCATTGATTATTGATATTTTTGTTCTTTATTTTTTTTCTCATCATCCACTACCCACCCCACTTTTATCGATCCCAATGTTTCTTTCTTCACTTCAACGTTGTTGGAATCTATTTCATAAGTGATTGCATTACGCAACCTAAAAAGCTTCGATTTGCATTCATTCGGAAAATTTAATGGAACTCTTCAATGTCTCGGTAAATTTCGCCGCAGGAACAAAACGTTTGTTTTACACTGTGGAAACGTGACCGATTCTCACTTCAAGCACTTGGCATAGTGTTGCGGTTAGCGTGCTGATCGGCTAAAAATTTACCTACTGTGTTCAATTCTAACCTGTTGCTCAATAAATAATTTTTTTACGGTCAAATACAACAGAATAGAAAATAATAATGGAGGTTGTGGCATTCTGGAAACAGAAAGCTTTCATCTTTGGTACCTAGACTTTATGAATTTGAGCGCAGTACTAGATTGGCAGTTAGGTCTTGTCATTTTATAGTTGAAATGGCTAGATATAACCGTAAGTTCTATAAGAGTTTCTTCTCTCACGCTACTCGCTTATGGAAATTTCTTCAAGTTTCTTGCTTTCCACTAAACTTTGATCTTCAAAAATTTAAATGCAATATCAATCGTTATCTTCTGTCTTCTTAATTCCTGTTCTTTTATTGTTCTCTCTCCATTAATAATGTTTTCTTTTTCTCATATTCTCTCAGACACGTTACGTCTTAGAGGCTTTATTTCCTTGGTTTGGGTGAAATGAGAAAAAATGTTCTGTGCAAAGCAAGTAAAATGTGTAGGGTCTTTTGTATTTGCTTTTGGTGAAATAAATGCTATCGAATGATTGGGCAATTCATTGTCACTTCTTCTATGTTCCATATCACTTCCTCTGCACATACACAAGCTCTTAGTAGGTTTTGTCTTTTAACGGGGCCTCTCCTAATCCCTGTTATGCCAAACATTTAAATAGGTTATGTGCTGCTTTACAATCTACAACTTGCCTTCAGTATAGCCTGCGTAAGTTTCAAATGTGCCTGATCAGGAGCATGGATGGACTAGCGTCTATTACTACAACTGAGATATTTTCATACTACTGTTCACCCAATATAAGGCCTAAGAGCCACTCAAGTTAGAGTGATGATAAATGATATTGTTATGAGGGCGTAAAAACAGGACTCAAGGAGTACATGTTAAGAGGATGGCTATGATAGATAAGAAAGTTGACGCTAGTTATGATCATGTTAATTTCGTAGTGATCAAGGAATTATCCCCGCAGGAGTCCTATTCCGCTGGGTAACATTTCTGGTGAAGAAGCTTTTCAAGTAGAACTTCTTCCTTACCAATGGTATGCGAAGGGAATGAGGATGAGTTAACCCTGTACACGTAGCTCCTAGCTGTGAAAGGCTAAATTGGTGGAACTATGGAATGTAGCCAGTCTGAACATTTCTTTTGAGGGGAGTAGGGATAGTTTTGCGAGAGATGGCAACGTTTCGTCTGTAGGAAAGAGCTTGTAGGCTGGAAAATAATGCATCACCCAGATGGCCGCGTAGAGGCTTCTGAATTCTGTCAGGGCTGGAAGGTGTGGATCGGGCAGCTGCACACCAGATATGATGGCATTTGGAAAAATAAAAATATCAAATAAATGGGTCAGTGTCTGTGGTCAGAAGATTTAAATAATAGAACGGCAATGACCAGGTTTTCAATTTCCTCACTTTTTAGAGCTGGTGCACCATTTTTATTTATTTTTTTTTTTGGGGGGGGCTATATTATTTTAGTTACCGTTTATACTCGTGTAAAAGTCGACTTCATGTATAGTGCAACGTCTGATTTTTTTTTGCACGAATTTTAACCACACCAGAAAACTTTACCTCTGTATAATGCCTCCTGTTACCGAAAATGCATGATTTCGAAAAGAATCTTCAAAAAATGACATGTGTATAGTGCGACCGTTTATACACGTGTATAAGTCGACTGCATGTATATATATTTTGCATGATTTTCTGATATTTTTTGCATGAGTTTTAACCCCACCAGAAAAATTTACCTCTGTATAATGCAACCTGTTACCGAAAATTCATGATTTCGAAAAGAATCTTCAAAAAATGACGTGTGTAGTGCGACCGTTTATACTCGTGTATAAGTCGACTGCATGTATATATATTTTGCATGATTTTCTGATATTTTTTGCATGAGTTTTAACCCCACCAGAAAAATTTACCTCTGTATAATGCAACCTGTTACCGAAAATGCATGACTTCAAAAAATCACATAGTGCCACCCCCTATTGTTTGCGTAAAAAAGATGCAGCATAAAAGCTCGCACTTATAGTCGAGTATATGGGCACCTCGATGTGGTGTAATGGTTAGAAAGCTTGTCTCCCTAGATCAATTACAACCGAGTAGTGACTTCGATCCTCACTCGGTGCTCTATAATTTCGGCCTTGTGCCACAACTAAGCTACGCTTGGAAATCACTATGAGCTGTCAATTGCTTAAGAGCGGCGCTATATCGAGTCTAATTATTTGCCTCTTCGTCACCGAAGTCCGAATGGTACAAAAATCGACTTATACACTAATATATAGGTTGTATTTAGTCTTTAAAATATATTTTTCAAAATTGCTACTTTCATATGTAGTAATTCTGAGGTGGGGGTCAGTTTATTACTTATTAACAATAGGAAACTAATACCCTATCTTTGAATAATGGATAGCGGTTCGGATTGAGGAATCGGAGATCCTCGTTAGAATTCGACTCGAGTTCTTTACTGCCACTTACGTGCAAATACTCTTTGGAAAAGGTATGAATCTAACTCTTCTACCCCCAGGTAATGGGTAAGTACCAGGAAAGACTGGGTCCGATAGCCTTGGGTGGTTACCAGGCTAGAACAACAACTTTTAATTCAAAAACTGAGTGGCCGGTGATTAAACCGGTAAGGGGAACCGCAGCACTGCAAAAAATCAAGTGCTGTTAAAAGGCGACTGAACACCTCGGAGTCAATGACCATCCACCTCAACTATGGGTTAAATGGCTTCACCAATCCGCAATTTCCTGGTGTGATGAGTACGGCGACACACCTGAATTCCTTGTCAATCAGGGAGTGGTTCCTCCAACAGGAATCAGAAGGCTTTGGATTAGGATCCATGCTGTCAAAACCGGAGTCTTCCTATTAATATTAATAATGTATTTATGATGTAATATTGGGAAGTAAAATGGGAAATGAAATTCTACGGATATACGAGGGTTTTTCAAAAATTATCGACACTTTCGCCATAACATATTTTTAGGTTTGTCACATTGTCTTCTGCGCATGCGTGCTCATAGTTAGTACTATCGTAGTCACGTGATCGAAATTTGAGGTTTATCGCGCCAGTTTTATGCTGCTGTTACAGTGTAAACATGACCGCTTCGCTTACAGTGTGCATCAAGGAGAAATGTATGACTATAAGGCGTATATAATATAGGTAGATATAGAGACAGACATATAGTTAGATTTGAAGAAACTACGATGGATAGATAGATAGATAGATAGAAACTAAAACAGACAGATAATACAAATAGATAGATAGATAGATAGATAGATAGATAGATAGATAGATAGATAGATAGATAGATAGAAGCTGAAACATAATGAAAAGATTGAGATAGATAGATATTAGGTTGGTGCAAAATAATGACGTAATAATGTCGTTTTTGACGTCTTGTTTAACGTCAAAAACGACATTATTACGTCATTATTTTTGCAACCTAATAGATAGATAGATAGATAGATAGATAGATAGATAGATAGAAGCTGAAACATAATGAAACGACTGAGATAGATAGATAGATAGATAGATAGATAGATAGATAGATACTTTTCTATCGTTCCCTTTTTCAGTTGTCGACAGTCGGTCTGGGAAGGGAAATGTTTTCACATAGACAACCACTGTTTTTAATTTACCGAGTTGAAATTAATTTATTCAAGATTCTTTTCTTTTATTTACCGAAGGCATCAAAGCGATGGCAATAAAGAAAATCAACAAAGTTAATGACAAAAAGAAGCCACAAAATAATAAGCGTTTCAAAGCAAGGAATATTATTAGGAACACAAGAGTCAGAAGCGCAACAGGGAAAGAAGAAAGCAAAAAGGAACTGGACACTGTTTAGGAGAATGGTAAGTCTTTGGATTGTGAAGACATCCACTCGTAAAATGTTAAGATTACTGGAACAATTATAAGGCTTCAATGAAAAGTTTTCTTTGAATGGAGGAATTTACAGATTTGCACGAAGACTTTGAAGATAAACGATAAAACTATACATGATGTGCCTGAAGTTTTTCTTCCTCTTTCTCTTTACTTATAGTTTGGTATGTGTGTTTGTGTGCACATACATTCATATATATATATATATATATATATATATATATATATATATATATATATATTACAATGATATTCACCTGTACAAGACCCGAGAGCCACTCGGGATAGAGGGTTACGGAGTAAAACTCAAGAGTTTAACGCTAGACTTTATCAAGTTAAAACTGTAGTGATCGGGAAAGCATCCTCTTGCGAGTCTGTCCTAGAAAGAAGCGGTTCCTGGGAAGAAATTGATCGAGGAACTTCCGTCTCGCCAATGGAATATGACTGGAATGACTGTATATATATATATATATATATATATATATATATATATATATATATATATACCTGATGTAACAACAAAGTTGTCCAAATCGTGTAACAGCGAAATTGTTCAGTTGTTAGAATAAGCTTTGAACCGTTGAATCTTGGAAATTATTTAAGATATCCTACTGGAAATGGCCGAGTTTTTTATAAGACTATTGGACTCTACTTTGAGCAATAAGAATATATAATTACTCTCCAAGCTTAACAGAAGAATCGTTATGAAATCGATCATAAACGAAAATGATATGTTCATCATTAATTAATCGAAATTTTGTTAAGGATCAGTAGCTCATGAAGTATTGAAATTACGTTCAAATACATATATATAATTCCAGGATTATTTTCCAATTTATTCAAGATGATCTTCGCCCTCTCTAATCTTCTAACCTTCTGTCCTGGAATAATAACATGCCTCACGCCTTTCACGTACGATTTCATTTTCAAGTCTTTTTTCACTATTTTAACAGTAATAGCTGAAATTCCACTCCCACGTGTCAAACATCATATGAATTGAATTGGACCTTTTCTAATTGATCTCTTTGGCTCTAAGTTGAAATGATGATTCCTCTTCCTGATTTAGTTTTCCTCTCTACTGTACTCTCTTTTTGAAACTTATTTACCGTTCTCTTGATGGTTCTTGAACGGACTTTGAAGATGGGAGCCAGTGTATGAATGTTCGTAACATCACTGAAGGCCTGAATGATTTTTCCTCTCACTATTGCTCAGTTGATAAAACAGTGGGACTGACACACAAAATAATTTTAACCTGTTCTCTTTCTAGGTTAATAAGTCAAAGGGTTTTTTCAGTGATTCTTACAACAAATGGTGTCAAGAAGGCTAAACGTCTTATGTGAAAACCTGTGAAAAAGAAACTCAATTAGTTTAGTGTTTTTTTTTTTGTTTTTTTTAGATATTAAACATTTTGTGGAATGGATACTTATACTGGATTTGGATTCGGAAATTTTACTGCTCTACCTGGTAGATCTGAAAAAATGTGTTTGTGTATGTGTGTGTGTGTCTGGTTGTGAGGGGGCGAAGCAATCTTTCTTTCATACACGTCTCACTGAAAAATCTTCTTTTACATGGCGACAAACGAAAGCTCTCACTTCCTAATTATTATATACGATATGAACTATGTTTTTCAAATATTGCGTGTTCATAGCTCATGACAGTTTTTAGGAAAATGAACTAGAAAGATAAACGAAAGATCATTTTAAAATAACAGTGATTGCTCTTTAGTAATCTTTTAATTTCCCTACCAAATACATATACACACATATACACACAGAAATAAATATATATATATATATATATATATATATATATATATATATATATATATATATATATATTAGTTAAATGTCCTCGAAATAATTCTGAAATTAAAGACAATTTGGTTTAAAAATGACAATTTGGTTTAAAAATGACAATTTGAAAAATTCTTAGTTCTTGCCGACGTGTTTCGTCTTCTAACTTTATCAAGGCAAGCAATGACCGTGAAATGTTTTGTAGCCACATAAAATGTTTTTTTAACTGTCCTTTTAAAGCATATATATATATATATATATATATATATATATATATATATATATATATATATATAATTTTAAAATTTGGATGAGGTTAGTATGTGTTTTATGTTTTTAGATTGACGTTTGCTTTTAATTATTTTGGTTGTTAGTATATTTTTCATTTTGTTCATTCTTGCTAAGAAGGTCTAGATTTTTTGTAATTTCTGTAAATAGTTCTGGATTGTTCTTGTTGTATGTAGAAACATATGCTAGAGTTTGTTCGACGTTACGTTTCCTTGGATTTCGTAGTTCGTCTAAAGGAATTTTTTTGCGAGTTCAAAACCTTTGTTTATTAGTGTTGTGGGGTAGCCTCGTTTTATGTAGTTCTTCTAGGCGGGTTTTTCCAGAGGTGTTTATCATTCACTATTGTCCAAACCCTACGTGCTAGAGAAAAGGGGATGGATTTTAGAAAGCTTTTGGGGTGATGGCTATGGAAATGAAGATATTTTGGGGTGGCTGTAGGTTTGTGGTAGATATCTGTGATTATGTGGTTGTTTTTATTTCTAATGACTATATATAAAAATGGTAATTCAATGAAAGTATATTTTGGGGTGAATTTGATTTTGGGGTGTAAGTTCTGAAGTTGAGTGTGGAATTGGTTAATATACCCCATGAGAATTTCCAGAAAATAAAGCAATCATCTAAGTATCGTTTTTTAAAATTTTTGTGCTACCTTTTCCGAAATTTATGAACTAAATAGGCAAGTTTTTTAATAATAAAATACATCTAAAACATAGATAGGTCAATAGATAATGAGCAGTTGATATATATATATATATATATATATATATATATATATATATATATATATGATGCATGTTTCATTAAATAATATAGAGTTTTGTCTATTTATTTTATGTAAATTCTTTTCATATCGTCTGATATGCTTAAATAAAATAATCATTAAAAGACGAAAAGAAAATCACTATATTGATTATTTTTAATATCTAAGCTTTGGGCCATTATCTAAAATGACAATTACATTACAATATATTAAACAATACACGGACAAAAAATAATGATAGTCTGTTTTCATGGATGATTTTCAAGCAACGACAAGCGGCACCGCAGCTCATTCACATCACCATGCGAGAGTGAAAACGAGGAAGTTTAAGTATGGGAAGCAGTTGATATAAACCAATGGCTTCTGTTATCAATTATATATTTAAGAATATTTGTGGAGATTTTAGTTTATTTTTGTTCAGGTTAGGTTTCAACTGTTTTTTATAGCTTCAAGTATTTTTAGTTTTTGTTTATTTTTTTTCAAGTTTAATATATATTTATTAAAGACATTTTTATGTTTAACTATTGTCAGATATAATATATATATATATATATATATATATATATATATATATATAGAGAGAGAGAGAGAGAGAGAGAGAGAGTGATAGTTAGCTAGATAGATAGATAATGATCAGACTGGGATAAATAGATAGATAGATAGATAGATAGATAGATAGATAGATAGATAGATAATGAGCAGACTGGGATAGATAGATAGATAGATAGATAGATAGATAGATAGATAGATAGATAGATAGATAGATAGATAGATAAGTAAATCAAGCGAATAAATAATAGAAATTGAACAAAAAAATTGGATTTGTTACGAACATCTGTGACTTTGTACAGAACTCATTTCGACATTGGTCAATCTTTTCAACTGCAAATATTTTTCAGCCTGCCTCGTGGGCGTTTCAGCTGAAAACTTTCGGTGGAGTTTTGATGCTGTCAAATATCAAAGGTGTCCGGTACTGGAAAATGTCCAGTGGAAAAACTGATCGCCAAAAAATGAGGCAAGAAGTCTGAATGGAAGACATTTATTACTGAATCCGTCATACAAATTCGAGCCTGCAACATTTTGCTTGACTCTAATGAAACCTTTATTTGAATGCGTTAAACAAGCCGAAAGGAAAAGGCATGACGTGAAGTGTAAAAGATGTGGATGGATGGCCTTGTGTTTGAAATGAAAAATGGAAAGAGAATCGTAGGGAAAAGAAAATGCTGTGGGTATTTTGCCAGAGGAAGACGTGGAATGCACTATGAGAGTGTGAAAAGATGCATTCATGCTGAAACAAAGACGAAGGCAAAGAAAGAGAGAAAGAAGCAACAAAGAGAAATTGTAATGAAGTCTGGAAAAAAAAAAGAATTGAAAGAAATCCTGTAAAGAGAAAGAAAGAAAAAAGTCTACTGAACAGATAGAAAGAAACAAAAAAGAGTAACTAATAGAAAGAAATAAAGAAAGAAAAAAATGGAAAGAAATCCGGAAAAGAGAAAGAAAGAAACATAGAGAGAAAGAAAGACTAAAGAATAGAATCGAATGGTATATAAAAAAGAAGTAACCAAAAGAAAGAAAGAAAGAACAAACGAACGAAAAAGAGAAAGTAAGAGAGAAAGAAAGATGATGTCGTGAAGAACGAAAGAAAAGAAAGAAAAATATCGAGAAGAAAAGAAAGAAAGAAAGATGGAAATCTGGAAAAGTGAAAAAAAGAAAGAAAAAAAAACTAACGAACTGTAAAGAAAGTACAAAAAATAATTAACCAAAAGAAAAGCTAACGAAAAGAAAAAAAATAAAACAAAATGGAAGTTGCCAAAAGAAAGAAAGGAAGAAAGAAAAAAATACTAACGAACAGAAAAGAAAGTAACAAAAAAGATGTAACCAAAAGAAAGAGATAAAGAAAGAAATGGAAAGAAATCCGAAAGAGAGAAAGACAGAAAGAAAGAAACAAAGACTAAAAAATAGAATAGAATGATATAAAAAAGAAGTAAAAAAAAGAAAGAAAGAAAGAAAGAAAGAAAGATGGAAATCCGGAAAAGTGAACAAAAAAAGAAAAAAAACTAACGAACTGTAAAGAAAGGACAAAAAATAATTAACCAAAAGAAAAAAAGAAAAACTAACGAACAGAAAAAAAATAAAACAAAATGGAAGTTGCCAAAAGAAAGAAAGGAAGAAAGAAAGAAATATTAACGAACAGAAAAGAAAGTAACAAAAAAGATGTAACCAAAAGAAAGAGATAAAGAAAGTCGAGATAAGAAAGAAGAAACCGTAAAAAGAAAGTAAGAAAGAACTGAAACGAGAAAGACCCAACAGAAAAAAGAGGAAATCTAAGCAAAATAATGCCGTAGAAAAAAAAAAAGAGTCGCAAGAAAAAAAAAAAACAAAAGAACGAACGAGAAATTCCGAATTTTAACATAAAAAGAATAAAACATGATATTAAAAATCGGTAACTAATAGAATGAAACATAAAACAATGGGAAATAATAAAATTAATCTTCAGAAAAAGATTCTTTTTTAGGTTACGCTTGGGCGTTGCGAGTCGCTTGGTGCCAGTGGCTGATGTCCTAATCGCGAAATTGTCGAGTGTTTTCGTGATATAATCAATTTGGAGCTTTGATCGTCAAAAGCTGAACATCTTCTGACAAGCTTCTCTACGAGAAGCACACCGGCCTAAGCATGACAGCTGTAGAAATATTGACATCAATTCCTTGAGACATGCAGATTAAGCCACTGATCAGTGTTGGTGGTGATTGTCAGAACTAAATGCGAATAGTTGTGGACTATACTTTCGTAACATGGCGTCACCATTTTTCCATGATCAGACGACATGTTTTAGTAGACGATTTCTTTTTTCTTCTTTATTTTTTAACGACCAGATAATTGGTCCTAGCTTTTGCTTTTGTAATAGTTTGTCATATCTATTATTTTATCGTTGCATTTTATTGAATTTGACAAAAGGATAATCCTGTATATGACAGAGATTATTTTATGTACAACATATGTCGACAATCGTAGTTTTCCACAGTTTCCTATCTGTTGTTGCTCTAAATAACGTCTGGCCCTTTAACATTCATTTCATGTCCTTTATTTATCATCCATTCATCTATGCATCGTAGTCCTGGGTATGACGATAAACTACATCCGGCAGCAAGATCTCTGATCCGGAGATTGGATGTTTTGAAGAATATGGAACCACCTCTTAGTTGTTCCCAGATCCACCCTAACCTGGCGTGCTAGCACTTGTTAGGGTCCAAGCTATGGTTAAATAGTGACCCCCCACCCAACAAAAAACAAAATAATATGAAAGTGTGAAAGTGCATTTTTGTGGTAAAAACATCAACAATGAATTATTGTCTATGAAAATTACCGGCAAATCATATTGATAATAAAATTACCAGCAAAATATTTTTAAAGCAAAATGATCAAAATTTCGTTATACAGTAGAATTACCAATAATACATTTTATAGGAAAAATTATTATTTTAACTGCAGTTGTAATATATTTAGTTGAAGCCATAAAATTGTGTTCAAAATATTTTGATTTCGGCATTAAATAACACATATAGGTTGATATGCCGCTAAATCAAATCAATACTTATTTATAGCAAAATTACCAACAATGCCTATTTATAGCAAAATTACCAACTTAATGCAAAATTATTCAACCAATAGCAAAATTACCAACAGTACATATTTAAAGCAAAATGACCAACAATACATTTTATCTGTAATTGAATGCATGCTACTGCGTTCAAAATATATTTAGTTGAAGCCATACAATTGTGTTCAAAATATTTTGATTTCGGCATTAAATAACCCATAGAAGTCGATATGCCGCTAAATCAAATCAAACAAAAAAATCAAGGGAGGTAAGAAGTACAATATATCAGGGGATGTGTAGGAAAGATAAGTTTTGACTCTAGACTTGAACAAGTTAAAATTGTAGTAATCGAAAAAGCATCTTCCTGTGGACTTGTTTCACAAGGTAGAGATTGTAAGCAAACTGTATGAAATTCATATTTTGATCTTCCAAAAACGGATTCAATGAATGTTTTCTTCTAGCATTTATCTAACTTCTTTCGGTAAAAATAAAAATTACTAAGATATTTAAGAACTGTGTTAAAAAAATACAACATTCATATAATTCATATATATATATATATATAATTCATATATATGATAAAATAAATTCCATTTTATCTGTAGTTTAATGCATGCAACTGTGTTCAAAATATATTTAGTTGAAGCCATAAAATTATGTTCAAAATATTTTGATTTCTGCATTAAATAACCCATAGAGGTGTTGATATGCCGCTAAACAAGATCATCCAACCTAAAATAACATAACTAACATAACAACATAACATAACATAAAAAATAAGATAAAAACTTTTTTATGAGATCAATCCATATAATAACCTACAATTTTTTAAAGAAATCAAACTATATTACAAAATATAACGTTAACAAAGTTACAACATAAACGACACATATCAACGCCTCAAGTAATTATGTCCACACAAACATGTACATGCCAAAAATGAGTATTATCTACCATGTATTCAACTGTGAAAGTAGAATAACACATCATATTTTTATTACTTAAATGATCCAAAAAAAAATTAAATTTCGGCATTAATTGATTGATAAGGAGTTGATATGCCGTTTAAAATATCAATCAATCTACACGTCTGTGGTTGAAAATGGCTTCAAGTATAAATAAATCCTTGAAATCTTAAAAAGACGATCCCTTATCACATCCTATAGACTAGCGCTACGCAATAAAAACCAAAGATATTTACCAAATAACAAAGACCACATCTCTTGTACAATTCCAACCGCAATAACAACTAAAATGGATTGCCCATATCATTACAGATCGTGGAAAAAATACCTCCCACATTTAAAACTCTAACCTGTGTGGTGCTTATGAACTTAGGCACGTAGCAATGATGTCTTCATGTAGCTAATGTTTCTGCAATTTTTATTTTTAGATAATATTGTTACCATCATGGCTTGGACCAATGAACACCGTTCGTTTGTTTTTGAAACGCTTTTTCTCAACAGACTGGTGAATCTGTAATTGCAATACAGAGAGTTTTTCTTGCTCATTTACTGTTATATTGGAATGATGTTGTTCTGGATAGAAAATACACACTACTATGGGTTGACAAATGGTTCCGCGCTTAAAAGAAAGCCATCTTGGAGACTTCGAACTTCCGAGTGATGGAAAACTTTAGAAATTGTCTCCAGCAATGTATGGCGAATAAAAGCTACGATTTGAAGGATGTCATCCTTAACATGAAAATAATAAAAAAGGTCGCCCTTTGTTTAAACAACAGTGAACTAGATATTTTAATGGCCTTTTTATTTAGTCTTGTTGCGAGCCTTTAAAATGTGGGAGGTATTTCTGTCGCACCCTGTAGAAGAAAATAAATAATAAGATAATCAAGATGTTGACGTTCCACACAACCTTAAACAAAAGGAAGGAAAGTTGTACCAATACAAGAAAGAACGATAACAGTTAGTGGACATGAGACATCTAATTTCCTTTAAAAAAAAGGTGCTTTAATAAAAAGGTTTTAGTAACTTCAACCGAGAGTTACACTGACTGTTTGCTGAATGAATGTCTAATGCTTTCTGCTTGGAAACGGCTAATTTCATCATTAATATTCCCATACACTCAAACGCAAGAGAAAAATCACATGTCTTTCACTACTCTATCGCTATTTCGATAGCAATTATTCTTACGAGCCACATTCATTAATTCCACCAGTTCAAACTTTCGAAGCTAAAAATCGCCATGTCAGGTACACTGAGATAAATCATCTCCATTCTCTTGGTATTTCATTAATAAGAAGGAAGTTCCATTTGAACAGCTTCTTCACAAGAACCACTACCTTGTGGAACAGACTCCCAAGTGAATGCTTCCCCGATCGCTAAAATCTTAACCTCTTCAGCTCTAGGGTCAAGCGTTATCTTTCCTACATATAATCTGCACTTCTTACCTCCTTCATCTACGTTCATCCAATCTCATTCAGTAACCCTTTACCTTCTATAATTTTAGACCTAGCAATATTAGGTACAATCTTATATTCCACAGCATCTATAGAAATCATTGTTGTCACCTGCCATTTCATATTACGACAAATTAGTGAAGCATATATCTACAAGTCTACCATTCATCCTTGCTTTTGAATATTCCTGTCACATCTGGTTTGGTGTTCCTAAATAATTTAAATATATATATATATATATATATATATATATATATATGTGTGTGTGTGTGTGTGTGTGTGTGTGTGTGTGTGTGTGTGTGTGTATATATATATATATATATATATATATATATATATATATATATATATACATTCTTGACATAAGCCAAAGAAGAATCTGCAATGTTATTGGTCCTGACCTGTCATCGCGGCTTCATTTCCTTTCCAGCTGCTGTAACTTAGTTTCCATGTGTCTTCTCTATAAGGCTTTCATGCTAATTGTTCTGATGAACTTTCTTCTATGGTATCCTGACTTGATGAATTTAAGCGCAGTACTAGATTGGCGGAAAGGTCTCATAAATTTACAGTTGAAATGGTTAGATGAAAACGCATCTTCTATGCTAACAGTTGCTCGCGTCGTGCTCCTCGCTAGTTGAAATCTCTCCCGGTGTCTTGCTTCCTAGTCAACATTGATCTTCCAAAATAATATACAATGACAATCGTTATCTTCTTAATTGTTATTGACCCCAGTCCTTAATAGTTGTTTATCTCCTATTCTCTAGTAATCAGTATTCTCTTGCGCCCTAGTGGCTTTATCGCCTTGCTTAGAGTGAAATGATTAAACAAAAAAAGAACTCTATCTCTATTTCCATGGTAAATATTCTTTTTAGGTATATTTCTTAATTGCACCAGTTCTGACATTCGAAGCTGAGACCCGTCATGACACGTACACGGAAATGAATCAGCCGCACCTCCTTTCGTATTCCATTAGTAAGAAGGAAGTTCCATTTGGGCAGCTTCTTCACAAGAGCCATTAATTAGTGGAAGAGACTCCCAAATGAATGCTTCCCCGATCATTACAATCTTAATCTCTTCAGGTCTAAGGTCAAACGTTATCTTTCCTACATATTCCTCATAATCTGCACATCTTACCTCCTCCATCTACGTTCATACAACCTCATTCTGTAACCCTCTAACTTGACTGGCTTTTGGGCCTTGTATTGCGTGTGATCAATTTGTTACAAAAAAGTAGGTTATTTGCTGTTTTCCCTTTACTTATCTTTACTTCGATATGTCCCGTGAGTGTTAAATCCTCTAAGCCGTCTTTCCTCATTATGTCTCCCAGAAATTTCAGCTGCGGCTTTCTGATTAGGCATATTTTTTCGTCTTGTTCCGATTTTTCTTTGAAATTTTGACCGTCGCATTCTCCGACCATTATAGCTCTACATAATTCCCTGTATCAGTTAAGGAATTTCAACATCAGTAACGGCTAAAATGGATATTACATTGAACACAACTTCAAATATAAATGTTAAGAAGGAAACCTCCATCAATACAAAAAAGGGCGCTAACAGACTTGGAAAACCTATTTTTCTGAAAAATTATTTCAAAAGAAAGGTCTTATGAATTTCGACCAGTGTTGGTACTGGCTGCTCGGTCACTGAATTCCAAATGTTTCCTCATAAGGAAAAAGGGTTAATATTACCTTTACAATTTAAAATTCTTATTTGTTCTTGTTCTGCGACTAATTCGTTATGTTGTTAAATCACTCTTTCTCCATCCTGCTTTGTTTATTTTCAAGATGTCCTGCATAGAAAAGAATTTTTTTTTTTACTCTCACGAAATAAAGCTTTCTGATTCTGTAGAGTAAGTGATCTTATATTATTTGTCTCTATTTCTAAAATGAGGTATTATGTACACTGTTTACATTATTCGGACTATTCATCTTTGTCGCCATATTTATTACAACATTTCGGCCGTTGTACGCTCCGGCTTTCTTCAGGTGGTTGGAATGTCGAACTGAACCCTTTATTTCGCTCACTGGGGTAGACTGTTCTAGTTTCACTTGCCATGTTTAATGGATGTCAGTTATCAGTTATCTCTTGTTAATTCTCCTCTCCAAGTTCTTCACTGCCTTAACCGGGTTCACACCTTTGGGTCCTGTCACTGCATCTAACCAACGCATTTATCCACTGTGCCATGTGTCAGGTTAAGGTAGTGGAGAAGTTGGATAAGGGAATTAACAGGAGATAACTGATAACTGACATCCATTAAACATGGCACGTGGAACTAGAACAGTCTACCCCGGTGAGCGAAATAAAGGGTTCAGTTCGACATTCCAACCACCTGAAGAAGATCTTATATTAGTTTGGTTCTGAGCCGGTAGTTAGAAATCAGTTTATTTTGGATGTGGGTGATCATGTGCCTCCACAGCTTCCTATAGCATATAGCTCAAAGCAACATTTGATTGTTTACCATCACTTTTTATCTCTGCTCTGGCCCATCACTTGACACAAACGCGATGCTAGAAGACCCCTGTTTTTATAAATTACGATTCTGAATTTTTTTTATCTATTGATTCGTTTTCTACGGCTTATCAAAACTATGCAGGTTATTTAAAGCCAGAAAATATGTTTATGTTATAAGAATGGTTTTTGGAGATAATAAAAGGTTTAGTCTTAGTAATTCACCAATAGCTAGGGCAAAAGAGGTGGGTTCATCCATTGTCCAAGTGTATTGGCGCGTAAGGAAAAGGAACTGGAATTCGGCTCTCCGATTTATAATTCCGAGGCATTATTCATTACACCACCCGCACATCCAAACTTACAGCACCTGGTTTTCCCAAACGGTCACCCATCTATTTACTGACCAGGCTCGACGTTACTTAACGTCGGTGGTCGTTCGGAAAAAAAAAAAAGTGTTTCAAGGTGATATGGCCGTAAGCCAATTCTCACTTTTCCCCCGTTCTTTAATTGATTGATTGGCGGGCTGGCGGGAACGTGGCCTAGTTGTTAGAACGTTAGCTTTCTGATCATGAGATCCGGGTTCTAATCTCGCCAAGATGTTATGAAGGTGACTTCTTGATGTTATCGGTCTGGAGGTGGCAATCCCATCGTGCGGCACCTTTGGAAAGTGTCTGAAAACCATACCAAGGGTGAAATTGGGAGCCGTTGATGGCTGTGCTAGCACGAAGTTGCCAGTCATCGTGACCGAGTGTTTGAGCGTGCTAGCTTCGTTCAGACGGTTGATCACGCTAAATAACACGCTCTTTCCCATAAACTGTAACTAAGGTCCGCTCAACATAGTTGCAGTACAACCACTGTGGGTGTTGAACAAAAACAAATATGCCTGTAATGGGGATTAGCTTAGCCGCCCTATTCAATTCGAGTGGCTAGGCCATTTACTATTAATTAGTTGGTTACAATAATGGACTATTCTGTTTTGACCGCGAGTAAAGACGGAAAAACATATCAATGACGCTGATTGGTTTCACTAGAAATAAAAGAAAGATAGAAGAAATAACGAAAATGATAACGCTCTCATGCTGTTAACGTCTGATTCAATGAAATGGAAAGCCCTGAAGCTTTTCATTTGTACCCTCTTACTTCTTTAAATAAATACCTACATTCATACTTACGATTGTTATTGCAATATTTTGTTAAAGCTTTTAAGCTTAAATATTTAACGATGCAATAAAGAAAATTCCACGGGTATTTTATTTTAGAACTAGCAAGGAGATTCTAAATTATTAATTATAATTTATCAGAAAATTCAAATCAAAAAGCCGTGAAATTTTCACGGGTACTTCATCAGGATAGCCTCAGTTTTGGGGGGTGCAAAAGTTTTTGTATTTATTAAGTATCTTGAGAAGGCCTATACCATCAATGGAGAGAGTACTACGCCAACTTGCTGAGACAATTACCAAAGGCAATCAACACCAATCGCCTCAGAATACTGAGGTCTTGTTTCATCAGGACAATGCTCTAGCACACAAGTCATTGGTTTCAATAGCTCCTGTACGCTTTGAACTGGATTAACACTCTCCTTATTCTCCTGATTTGGCCCCATTTAACTATCATCTGTTCCCCAACATGTACAAACACGTGACTAGGAACTAGTATCGCAGTGATAATGGCGTCATATCTGTTGCTGATTACTTTTTGAACAGCAGGATGAATAGTCTTATTTAAACATTCAGATATCAGTTTACCTGGAAACAAACAGTGCAGTTATTAATAAGAAGAGTTGGAATTAATGCATGCAAGATTTCACAGCTCCAGTATCATTCTTTTGTCACCAGTCTACCATGTTTTCATCCCACCCTCTGATACCTGCTCATTCTTCTGACGTCGTAGTCAATTTGCGTTAAAGATGTTTTAACAGCAAGTCTATTATTATTGACAAAACCAACTGTTTCATTTTTCAAAGAAAAATGTTGCTTTTTTTTTAGGTTTCCAAAGTCCAGTGCGTATTAAATTAAATATCAACGTTTTTCCAACTATAAAAATAAAAAGTTTTAAACTCTAAATCATAATTTACTGAGAGAATGGTGAATGGAGGAACACTGCGTGCGCAAGAGTCTGAAATATTGACTGCTGCGCACGATCGATATTTATCTGCCAAATCATTTCCGAAAATGATATTTCAGTGACAGCTGCGTTTAAAGAAATATCAACCCCAACTAAGAGACATGAAAAAACACCAACTTGATGGAATTGTTTTTCTATTGTTTGTAGTTTTCTTGTTGTTGTTACTGTTGCAGATTAAGTCTTTTAATATGGAAAATATTTTCTTTTCTCTCGACAAGGAACTAATCAGTAGCCAGACATTCCTCTCTGTTGGTATTCTCAAACATTTTTTTTCTGTTCGAATGTCTACCTCTATCTCTTTCTCTTCTGAAACTACTCAGGTTCTCGTGGCCAGCTAACTGGAAACCCTTCTTTGAAAAATTATTTAAAAAATATAATTTGGCGGGGGGGTTCAGTTTATGATATTAACGCTACTGGACTTGAAATATAATAACATTAAGCCTCTGTGCCCAGCTTAATATTATGAAGCAGAGGAACAATTAACATTTTATGATAGGTGAAACTAATGAGCAAATAATGGGGACATCTTAAGCGACAAACTGTATTGCTTGGCATTCGCACCGGAATCTCCAATACGAACATTTCAGTGTGTTTGCGTGTCAATCTTAGAATTGTGCAGAAGATTCCAAAACAGTTGGATTAGTCTAATGGTGATTACGAAGATAACGGTAGCTCGGAAAACTTATCTGATCGTTCTGAGAAGAAAGAACTCCTGAATTTATTGGTGAGGTCATAGGAGTCAACAAGGGGGCCTACATGATCTTGGGGAGGTAGTGCTGACTTGGTTCAAGAGGGTGGCTGCTAGAAGACCCTCTGTCTGGAAATGGGTCTCTCTGCACTATGCCATACAATCAGGAGAACCCAATCATGAATGACAGACAATTTCTGCGACCACATTACCAAATACATCTGACCAGCTAACCTCCCCCCACAGACTGCAGCCACCCCGCTTGATTATTATGTGTGGGACACAGTTGAGTGAAGGACCAACAAAACTCCTTGTAAAGATGAACCGAAGGCAAGGATTGTGGCAGAAGAGTTGCAGAAGATTCCGAAGTCGTCTGGAGGATGTTGGTGAAGAGTCAACGGAGATTTTTTTGAAAAAATTATTCTTTGACATATCAAGATATTTTTCTGTAATTTTGGTAAATATATATCTTTAACACTTTCACTGCTACTCATTTGCCTAGTGCTGTCCACCATCCGGCCAGCCATTTTTAAAGAAAATGCCAAATTTCAACCTCCATATTTTATTACACAGAAAACTGGCACCAGTGTGTTTTACAGCATTCCATTTTCATGGATATACCTGGGAATGACTTAACAGATCAGTAATGGGTATACACATGATATCTTTTGAAGCATTGTCCTTTATGATTTGACGATAGATGGCGCAACGGGACACTCATACCAGCGGTATGCAAAAAAACGTAGTTTTCCGTACTTAGCCAGCTGGAGCAAGATATGATAAACGAAGATCTCTGTAGTTAGCAACGGAAGTGTTAAATGAGATGTCAGTGTTATTTTCATTTTTGCGTCATTTAGACGACAATATATCCATCGCATCCTGTAGCTTTACAGAAAGATGGTGCGAATACCATGGATGAAGATTGTGGGTAATGTGAGTAAGCTTTAAGAAAATGACAAAAAATGACAGCTTGACTTATAATCAAATGGAGACAACAGGCATTTCAGAGACAAGTGGGCTTGTAAAATTTGACACAACCGAGTGACCTAACGAGCGTGTTAAATGGATGGAAGAGAAGGATTATAAGGGCCAAACTTTGCTTAGAGTATCAAAGGATAGGAAGCTATGGAGGGGCAAAAACGTCCACGTATGAAGGTAGGCATTCCTTAAAGATTCTATTGTTTGTTGTTTTGTTTTATGGCATATCAACCTCCGTGGGTCATTTAATGCCAACAATTTTTTTAAATAGATTTAAAGCGATAGTTTGGTATAAAAGGTGTGTATGTATTTTTTTTAAATGTATTGCTGGTAATATTTTTTTTTTCAAAAAATGTATTGTTGGTAATTTTTTTTTTTTCAAAAAATGTATTGTTGGTAATTTTTTTTACAAAGTATTTCTGGTATTAAAACCTATTTTTAGACTTTTAAGGTGTTTTAACCCTAGTTTGGAGTTTTAACTATTTACCCATAGCTGGGACCCTAACAGGTGCTACCACCATGGGTCAGGGTGGACCTGGGAACACCAGCAATTAATAGGTTGTTCCATGCTCCTCAAAATCTCCTGATCAGAGGGATTGCTGTTGGACGTAGTTTATCGTCTTACCGAGGACGCGAATGTAGTTTATCGTCATACCCAGGACGGCATTTCGTAAAAGAAGTGGAACTATCGAGTTCATCGATATTTATTCAGACCCGCATACACATGAGGTAATATAAATATGTTTCTACAGAAGAATACTGAGAATACTATGGACGTAACATGTGGCCAACCGGGAAGCGTTAAGGAAAATGAAAACAAATGGGGACATGCTTAGTATCAGAAAGGGAGCCGTGATTTTTTTAGGATGCGTAATAAAGAAAGCAGGCTTTAAGAATTTTATACTTACAGGATATATTGAAGGCAAGAGTAGGTACCCCGATGCGGTGTAATGGTTAGCAAGCTTGTCTTGCTAGAACAATTACGACTGAGTAGTGAGTTCGTTCCTCACTGTGTGCCCCATACTTTCGGCCTTGTGCAACACCTAAGCAACGCTTGGAAAATCACTATATTGAAGGCAAGAGTGTCAGAGGGAAAAAGAGACTAATCCATCTAACTGTAAATGGCTGGCAAAACATCAAATCGATTTAATAAATATTGTAATTTCAAATAGCATAATGAAATAAAATGTCATAATAAAATTGCGGACACATTCTGTAATTTAAATATAGTTCATTAATATTCCAACAATTATTCGTAATATTGATCCCCTTACACTCAATATATATATATGTGTGTGTGTGTGTGTGTGTGTGTGTGTGTGTGTGTGTGTGTGTGTTATAAATTTTTAAGATAGGCAAAAAAACGCTCCGTTTCGTTGCATTTAATTGCACTTCGACTGGTGAGAACCAAAATGGTTATGGACAGTTCTGTTTGTAAATTGTTCATAACCATTTTGTAAACAGAATTGTTCCTAAACATGTTTGTTCTCACCAGTATAATTAAATGCATCGGAATGAAGTTTTTGTCTATATGAAAAAATTATAATAAATAATTATTGCACTACTATCGGAATTGAGCCACTTTTGAATTAATACTGTGAACGTTAGCATTTATATATTATTTTTTTCTCATTACATTCATATATATATATATATGAATGTAATGAGAAAAATGTATGTGTGTATA